ATCTCCTTTATATGCAAGTTTTATTTTTTGTACGGACGTCCAGACAAATGCTATCTTATTAATGTCAATCTATCACTCACTCATGAGAAAGATTATGTGATGGTAGAGACAAACTGTGACTTCCTTCTGTGGAGAAGATGGCTAATTTCCCTTTTTTCCCTCCACCTCTTTATCCAGATAACAAGGTGGAAGATCATCCGCACGCTGTGGAACTTGTTCATTGTTTGTATCTGGGCTTATGGGAAGGTTTGTGCTAGGAAGAAAGGAAACCCACTGGAGTCTGACTTGGTGAAAGCACTCAAAAAAATGGATCTCAGCTTCCCAAGCAAACTTAGAAGCAAGCCAGGTGATCTGGGGAAGCTAATAAGCTGTGGTACAGACTGTTGGTCTCTTTGAAGAGAGGCAGGTGACTGGATATTTGATTCCAGCTTCCAACGGGGAAGCATTTCAGGTTTGAGTGGTTTTTTTCCTCCTGAACCAGGAGAACAGGCTGTAATGAACAGATGTCCTGAGGTCTGAGCAGCTGCTCAATAGAGGGCTCTAGAAGGGGCCTGTTCTATGGTAGCTGCTGTGTCAAGTGCAGACAGGCCATCATCTCTACAGCTTCCCGGGGAAAAAAGGGAAAATCAAAGCACCTTAGAGAGGAACCTTGTGAAGGCTCAAATAAGGTGGTCCTAAGCTTTTTGCCTTACAGCCCATAACTTGTCAGGTCTTTGAGATCTCGTTGTGGGTCTGTCAGGCAACTGAGGTCCATTTCAGACTAGAAGGAAGCAGTATGCTGGGAACTGTCAGGAGTGGAGGTGCTAATATCAGCCCTTAAGAGCAAATCTCATAAGGCCTTAAAGTTTTCTGCTTAAGCTCATGCTTTCTACTTGCTGAAACCTTCAGTCTGAAACTTACTAGTTCACAAACTAGCTGTGGAAGAGGGAGCTTGGAAGTTCACTCTTTGTTGGCATGGCTGCTTCCGCACAAATAGCCTTTGCAAAACTTTTAACTGTCCAGGTGGGCAGGGGCAGATGTCCAGGTGGGCAGGGGGAGACATCTTCCACACCTTCACCTTTGACAGCCTACGCAGTAGATGTCCTCTCTGAACCAGGTAGGGTGGGCAGTGACAGCAGTCTGGCTGGCCTCCTTGTCCCAAGCATTCCCTTCCACACGTAATGTATGTGGCTTGTGTGTCTGCCTGTGCCTGCCCTGGGCAGCATGGGGGCAACAGACATGCCATGGGCTGGCCCCTTCCCTGCCTGGACCCTTTCTCCTGAGACCCTCCAGTATGTGTTTACTCCACCATACGCTCAGGCACCCTTAGAAACTGATTTTGTTAAACTAGCACAGACTGTAGGGTAGGTATACTCACTCCCAGCATAGACTCAACAATTTGCAGGATTACACTGAAATGTAATTTCTTTCTGCTAGGCCAAAGTTCATTATTTCGCTTTAGAAAAAGAGTAAGAACAGGTGCTCTCTGCAAATGTATTTAATAAAGTACCTTGATTGTTCTGAATTGATTTATGTGTGGTAATTACCTTGTAATATAATTAGAAGCTCTTATGTTTACTTTTCCTTAAACTTGCTGCTTTGATGTTGCACTTGGGCGTCTGTATTGCTTTGTGGGATACAGTCCAAAGCTGCCTGGATCCAGTCCAAGATTAGTAATGCGTAGACATATTTGCAAAACAGTCCTTTTAAAGTTGAGCAAACATGGGAAGAATGGGTTTTTTTCCTGGCACTCAGTTTAAAATTTTGGAGTTTAAAACACTGATTCAGTGTAATATTTTTTTCCAGAATTGTTGATTGACCAGTGACAGTAGCAAACATTTCCCCTTTTTTCCAGTTAGGAAGAAACCCCTAAATGTTCATCTAGAAGATGTATAGCCTACAGGTTTTATCACATGTAAGTGGAAGGTTTGGGGTCCTCTTGGCTTTAAAAAGGATCTCTTGGAAAATCTCAGCCAAATCAAACTGTTCAAGTGCACACTGGGAATTTACAGAGGAAAAGACAGATTTCTACTCATGCAAGTTTCCTCTTCTGAAAAGTGGGGTAAATCCTACTTGTACAAGGTGCAGCTTTTTGTTGAAGGCAACTTACTTGTAGTGAAGAATGAAATTGTGTTTATATCTTAGTGTAAACACAGCCTCAATTACAAACAAACAAAATTACCCCCTTCCAGCTGATTAATGCCCAAAAGTTCAAAAGTTCCTGAAATAAAACAAACAAACAAACAAACAAACAAACAAACAAAACCTCATTAGATGAGTTTTGTTTGACAGGACAACTCATACCAAGAAAAAGAAAAAAAAATTACCAAAGAAAAAAGAAATAGAACTTGTGCCTTGGGGCAAAACAGACCAAATATATGTATTTTTAAATCAACGTTTTACAGGGAAAATTCTGCATACAAAATTCAGCTTTCAATGACTAAATATGTGGAATGAATTAATCCTTGAAGGTAAGAGTCTGAATAGTGTATAACTGAAAGGAAAAGCACTTTTTAGTCATTTCTGGATTCCAAATTTTTGTAGTTTTAGAGAAGACAAGATATTTGGTAAGAAAATATAATAGAGATATTCTTAAGTCATGCAGAAAATAGATGTTCAGGTTTTTAGATAAGGAAATAAGCCCTTAATCCATGCAATTATCCATGTAATTGTAATTTCCATGTGATCTTAATTCTGTTGCCTTGCTCATGTCTCTATTTATAGTGTTCAGTGCAACAATGATGATGCATCTGATCCTGGGTACCAATTTTTGAGACATTGCTCCAACATTTACTATTTTCCCTATATCTTACTATTAATTCATTATTATTTGTAATATTTGGAATCATGTGCCTTGTACTGAAATTCAACAAAAAGTGTTTTTTAATAAAGTGATGAGCTACTGAATAACCTAGAAACACCTGGACAGTGTTAGGTAATTTTAATATGCCTCTTTGCATGTCATCTGCATTATTAAAATAGTTTTCCAGTTATTGCTTTGGAGTAATTAAAGTTATACTCCACCCTTTTTCTATAAAGTTCACAAAACACACCCTCTGAAATCGCACAAGCTCTTTCAGCAAAAATAGGTAATCTGAGACTAAGCATTCACAGTTTATTTTAGGTAAAAATGAATCCAAACCAGTCATGAGAAACCCAGAAGCTGTTGAGTCAACCAGTTCTACATGCCAACAAGCAAATTAGCAACACACCTACTGAAAACATTTTTTTGCAGATCATCCTTCTGTCCCTGTGGTCAGACCCCTACTTTTGATTTTGGGGAGAAAAGCAGTTGTATGCTCCAAGAGCTGATCCTTGCCTCCTCAAAGGGAAGATGGGACACTTGGAAGGACATTAAAAGGGACAACCAGAAACCAGTTGACACTGATGGCTTCAAATAACTTACAGAGATGTAATGCAAAGGACGGAAAAATGAGAGAGCAGAGAGGAAGTGGAAAGCCAGGAAAAGGGGCGGATGCAAGGGGGACATGGCCAAAGAGGAGAGATGATGGCAGATTCAGTCTGTTATTTTTTAGCAGCAAATAAAAGCACAGGGGAGTGGGAGCATGGTGAGAGATGCAAAGATTAATAACAAAGAAGCAGCAGTAGCCCTGGCTGGGTGCTTTGCTCAGTGCAGGGAACACCAGCGCTGCACCAGATGAAGCAGATAAGGTCACTCCCACACAGGAGAAACTTCTGATCCTTTCTTCTTAGACACGGCGGAAAGCATGGGAAAGAGCAGGGATATAGCCCAGTACTAACTAAATCAGAGAATTCCTGGAGATTTCTTTCAATGCTCCAGGCAAAGGCAGCCATGAACTCCAGAGTACAATGCTAGGTAAATGACAAAGAACAAATTGCGAGACTAGTTTTTCACTGATGACAGTGAAAGTAGCTGTCCACGTAAACCTCCTGCCAGGTCTTGATAGGCAATAACAAGAGCTGGCTCAGTTTCCAAGGGTCTTATTCAAACACTGACTAGAGATTGAAGCCAGAAATATGGAAAATGAAATCAGATTTGTTAACCTTTATTTCCTCACTCCCAAGGGATGACTCTGTAGATAAGTTTAGGTACACAGCCTTTCACTGGATGAAGGGAGAGAAATTGAAATAACATACAGAAACAAAAGTCACAAACCCAGCTGCAAATTACAAGCCCACTAGTTAGGCTCTATCTTTTCAGTGAATTTGTGTGAGAGGGACTAGCTATGCTTCCCTCCTGTAGCCACCCATGTCCCAAGGGATGTCTCTTGCTCTCATGTCATGTGCTGGGTACTCACTGGCATTACAGCTGGCCCTGCAGAGCTGCGCTGTTCTGACCCCATCCCACCATGTCTCTCTGCTAACCCTTCCCAGAGAGCCTCTCTGCGGGTTTCTCACCAGGTACCCTCAGCGGTGGTAACCCCTTAACAAGGCTGCTATTGTTGGCAGGAGCGGTGCAACACAAGAGGGGAGCCTCACCACCCCTCTTGCCTTGTCTGCAGCTTCTAGGCTGTGAGTGGAGCACTCATCGTAGGTGCTTTGAACAGGTTTTTCACAACATAAATAAAACATTTGTAACGATTTCAAGTTTCTGACAAGTCTGTTGCTACCAGCAGCACTCCAAATACTGTACCAGGTGATGGCAAATTGGGCATGTTGAAGTCTGTCCATTGGCCTCTCTATTGGCCTCTCACTTCTGCACTAGATGCCAGCAGAGTACTTGCCTTTCTTCCAGTAGTTGTCTGGGAGAAAATACCTTTCTATTTTGCCTCAGGACAGCAGGCTTGCATTTCCTAGGATCTTGTTACTTATTCTAACATACAGCTAAAAATGCAGCCAACAGCTGTGAGGATTTACTCAGGGGGTTTACTCCATGCCCATTTCTATACAACCAGGAGGAGCAATTGGAGGAGTATTGGTGCAAATCTTCAGGAATAAAAAAAAAACCAAACCAACAAAACCCATATGCGCCTTTCAGGTGAAGGAGAAATTTGACCACTGTGTGTTTGAACAAGTGAATATGTTGTGCTCATCCTAACCCTCGGCTGTCTTCCTTTTTTTAAAAAAAATACCCCAAAACCTAAAAATAGAGATATTCACAGCAGCCTTAAAAAATAAATATATAAGTTGCTTGAGACTGTAGGAAATATATATGTTCAATAAACTCCATAATCCTGAGTTCATTATAGAAGTGATTATATCTTATGGAGGAAGAGACAGTCTCTTCAAGTATGGGAGATCTAAATGATTCAGGGTTTGCAGTTCAAACATAATCATAATGTGCAGGCAAAGGCTTGCATTACAGCAGAGCAAGTCCTTTGCTCTCCTTTCACCCTAACCACCCCCAATTAGAGATTTTGGACACGAAGACAGGATTTACAGTCATGAGATGCATGTGGGATCAGATGTCTGGTTCTGCTGGCCCAATCTGTTCCACAGGGAACCACAGCTTGGACAGACACAAGTCCTGGGGGGGCAAGGTAGGAAGACAGTCTTGTGGATCTGAGTACAGCAGGCCCACCCAGGTTGGGTTAGGCAAGCTCAAGCAAGATGCCATTAATATCAAAGTATAAACCAGATCTTTTCAGTGAAGTCTGTCCACTCCCTCCCTTGCAACACAAGTAATCTTTTTAATGGTTTCTTATACAATCCTGAGTGCAAAGCTACTGACAGGTAAGACAGGACAAACACCCTATGTTTGGTCATGACAAACCTTAATTCTGAGCTGTGTGTAGCTCCCACAGCACTCAGAGGTAGGACTCACCTTTCCTGACTGATGATGCACTCAGCACAGGAATCTACACCTGCACTAGGTGGGTAGGCTGTCATTAAACTCCAGGATCAGCACAGTTGGTGGCATCTAGGGGACTATCCATTTCATTCTAAAGAAGACACCCATAGAGTGTGAATCATACCCTAAATCTTGATGAAAATTGTGGGAGTGTAGACATCTTGCTGAACATACAGACATCTTCATTGTAAATGTCTGAGGTTGGGTGAACTGAATCAAACCATCACCTGTTTCATATAGTCCTTGGATTACACAGTGGTCACTGCCACACAGAGTTCTGCTGAGGATCTACAGAGTGACTGTGGGATTTATTTGTCATATACACTTAGGATCAAGATTTCTTTTATCTTTGACTTGAAATGACATTGCCATTTTCTTTGAGCTCTTTGTCTCTCTCATTCCTCCCCCCTCAACATGCACACACACCATGTGCACACACAGAGAAAATTAAAACTATAGTAGGCATCAGACTGAGGGCTAGGCTAATGTTCCTTGTATATAAGTCCAGTATGAAAATAGGAATGGAAAATTTCAACAAGTCACCATCAATAACAACCAGCTCAGACTCAAATGTTTATAACTTGCTGAAAGCAAGTCTAATCAAACATAACCTGGAACACTTTTGGACTTGTTGAGAATACTTGTGGGTGTGGCTGTAATATGTTTAATCTGTGTGCTAGGGAGACTTCCATAATTTTTTTATGCTGCAAGTTTTCCAGGACAGATTCATCTTAATTTGGCAGAAAGTCCATTGAAGACATTTATTATGGACAGTAATAGCGCATGAATATACTATAAGAAAATGCATCTTTGAATTTAACAATGCATCAGCAAACGCACCACTGATGCTCTCTAAATGCTGAGGTCCAAAGATACTGAAGTGTCTTAAATGGCTGTATCATGCACATCATTTGCTTTACAGTGTACAAGTCTGGAGGGGAAATTTTCCCAGAAAACTGAAGAGTGTGCTGACAATAAGATTCAGGAGCCTTGTTTCAACTTCTCTATACTATTTTGTTAGGAATCACACATATTTAGCGAGATGAAAAGAAAAAAAAAAGTGCAGTATAGTGTTTATGTGCATCTTGCTTTCTAAACTCCTTAAATAATAAATAAATAAAGGGTAGAGCAAAAGGCAACTGATGTGGAGCCTGTTGCACCCTGCCTCTCTGCCTGATCTGTCGCCACGCCTTCCGGTAGGGATGACTCCTGTGCTAAGCCTCTCCTCCTCACCTCCCAATCCCAAAGTCTGCAGAAGAGGTGAAGAGGACCTGGAAACTGGATGGGCAGCAGCAGGAGCAAAACTGTCAGCAGAACTGGTTTTCTTCTTTTTGTGTTTAGAGAAATCTAGCTGGTATCTCACTGAGCAGAAGCAGCGAGCTGGGCTAAAACAGGATCCTGTACTCCAGGTATGTGATGGCAAACTGGTCCACAAATACTGAGTTGGCAGCAGAGAAAGGCTAACTACTTTTAACTGTTTTGAAAGGGAGAAATCTGAAATTGCTAAGCAATTAGATATAGCTCTTTGAAAAGGTATGAAATATTCAGAAAAAAAAACCTTTAAAGAGAGACTTGGTTTCAGTAAAACAATGCACAAAGACAAGTTTTAGGGAGCAGATAAGGTGGAGATAAAGGGTGTCAACTTTGGAAAAGACTGGATTTCATTTTGAGTCTTTGCTGCAAGCTGTGGCACAGCAATAGTTCTAAGGACACTGATAACCATTTTATGTCCATCAGTAGCAAGATCACATTAAAGGACCATAATAATTTCTTTTGCCCTTATGGTAATGAATTCCCATTCTTTTCCTTCTTTGGTCCATTGGAACACTTACCATTGAAATAAATCATTGCTGGAGTTTAAAATGTTATCACTGGATCCAGGAAAAGGGCAGAGATGTCACATCTTGGCACCACTAGTCCAAGGTCCTGCCAAACAGCACAGCACATTGAGATCACGTGCTCATACTCACTTTCTGAGAAATGGGGATTATCCTTAGGACTGTCTTTGTCCCTGTTTAACCTTGATTGTTAAAGACTCTTAGCCTCACCTTGCAAGTAGGGATTTGGTTTTTTTCTATTGAAGATTAAGACTCAGCATGATTAAACCATGTAATTTGTTGCTTCCTAAAAATGTAGTAGTTCAGGTCTGTCCTACCACCCAAAGGAGCCCACCTTTACCTTGTGATAATTGTAAATAACTCTCCTCGGTTTTTATGTTACCTGCATGAAAGCTAAATGGCTTACAGTATCAAGACATCCAAGGAAAAGCAGGACCACTGGTGAGAAGGAGAAGCTATAAGAAGTACTTTTCTTTATGAGCAGAAGGATGACAGCAGACTCATGGATATCAGTCTTTTTTCCCTGTTAGCAGCAGTCAGTTTTTCCCCTGTTCCTAGCTTCCCACCAGGCCCTGTATCTCCTTTGTGTTGGAACTCAGCGATGAGGAGCAGGGTGTAAATGCGAGATGCTGCCTGCTTGGAACCATGTCATGGGGAAAGCAGGAAAAGGAAAAGTGTCATGGCGAAGTTGGTGGGAAGAGGGAATGAGGTGAGACAGGACAGGTAGGAAATATCCTGGCTCATTGCTTTGCCACACCATGTTGCGTGGGACAAAGCAGGCAGGAACAAATAAAGCTTCTGACTGAACAGGATCCCATCAAAGACTTCTAAGCAGTTCAGGTGTGGCTGACTATTTACTAACGTTCTCCACAGCCTGATGCCTGGAGGAGAGCCAGCTGGATAGTATGAATCAAGATAGGCCAAAGAAATGATTTCTGGGAAGCATCCAACGGATAGGGAGTAGGCTGTTTTACAACTATTGCAAAGCTTAATGCCTCCTAAACACTACTTCCGTGAAGGGGACATCATAGGTTGTGCACTTTTGAACAAAAGATCTTAGTGGAGTAAGACTGTGGCTGCTATCTCAGAAGCCACTGATGTTAGCTGTCTTTGGGAGCACCTGTGAATTCTCCAGACAGCCTCTTGCACTTCAACAAGCTCATTCATCTTAGGTTAAAAAAAAAAAAAAAAAAAGAGGTAGGAAGCACTTTTGCATGAACAGACATCTCTCAAGCATTTGCAGGACTGTTAGGGGGGGCTTAAACTAGGAGATACTCTCCCATGCATGTTACAACTTCCACTTTCATATGATGCCAAAATGGAGGTTTTACTTCTGAAGATCAGCTTCCTAGCACCAACCCTGACATTCAGATGTTGAGAACAATTAGCAAATGTAATCAGCTCTCAGTTATCAGCACAGGGGATTACTCATGATGTGAGATCATCCGCTTCATGGCTATTTCTGAAGCAGCTTGATTCTATCGGTAAAACTACACTTGCCCAGTTCCTGTATCTCTACACCACACTCTATCAGCCAGGGGTTATGGTTGTAATCAAGCATATTTGTTCAAACTCAGTGCTGGTCCTGCCAGATCTGGTGACAGCAGCCCCAAGTTTGGGAGAGGATGAGGAAGAACAGTGTCTCTGTGCTATACATTGGGAAGGCTGATTATCTTGGGTATAAGATAGTTTAAATGCATATAAAATTATTGAGCCTGTGTGAATCATGCAAGCTGGGAAGTATCGCGTAGGCATAAGCAAGCGGTGAGACTCTGTGGCATTGACTTTCTGTTCTTCATTCTGCTGGCACCATGGTTCCAAACGGTGTCCGCATTGTCCAGGTGAAATTTCCAATTACTCAGTGAAACCTAGTTCTCTGCTGCTGTGGAAGAGAGTTGAGGAAGGTATACATTTTTACTAGAATTTGCTACTCTTGCCTGATGACTAGACAGTTTCCTGAAGTATGTGTTACAACTAAAACAGAATTAATAGGCTGATGTAGAAATGATGAAATGGAGACAGTCATAATGTATATACAGGTGTGTGTACTGTGTCCCCAAGGACAGTTTCAAAGTCAGCAGAGGACAAGGAAATGCTACTATTAATACTGCCCCTGCGGACTTAATTGGATTCCTTGTATAGATGCATTATAACACTACTTTTAATTACAGGATCACATTCTACTTTTTGCACAGAGTCCATTCCAAGCTCCTGACACAGAGTCAGAACAAATTTTGAGTTTAATCTCTGTAGCACAGCTACTGTCTCATTGTCTGTAATTGCTATTTTTGGAGAAGGGACAAAACCAAACACTTTCACATATTTTGAATGAGATTTTTTTTTTTTTTTTTTTTTTTTTTTTTTTTTCCCCTTGTAATCCCTTTCAAGGGCATATGCATCCAAGGCATTGGAATCT